GTCCCACTGGCCTCATGCTGCAGGTGACACTGAGGCTTACAACTGGTGAATAGTGAAGATTTGAATCTGCGAACTCTTGACCACTCTGCTGTTGCCTGCTTCTCAGTAAGCCATCAAGGAATCACCACAGGGGTGACTGCATTATCTTACAAAAGCTGACATCTTATACTGCACTTCTTGTGGGTAAATATAAATCCACTTCTCCCTTCAGGAAGCACAGACCTAGTTCTCCAGATGAGGAAACTAGTACTAGCAATTGTAGAACCTAGTGAGAGGCCACTGGAACCAGAACCTGTGTCCAACTCCCAGGCTCAAAAGAAACCCCTTATACACAGCCAACCAGCACTGGTGCCCAAGTTCCTTTCTCTTTCAAATCTAATCTTACCTATTCAAGGTTTGTAGAGAAAGCCAGTGTTCTGGTAGGAGGAGTAGAGTACAGATAGGGCTGGTCCCACACCCATGTGTGGCAATTAAAGTCAGGAATATATCCGCTTTAGAGGTCCCCCTGAGGAGCAAGGGGTCCCCAGCCACACGCCAGGAGCCCAGCCCAAAGTTCCAATGCTGGGAAAAGAAGTCTCCGTAACTTGTGGTTGTGAACACCAGCGGGGATTTTGGCTGAGTGAGACAGAGGGCTGCTGGAGTCACAGGCATTCCTCTTAAATGGCCCATACACACTGACTTACTAGGGACTCACTTTCTTTGAGCTGTAGCAGAGGCCACTGTTCCTTTGCTGGACCCTCCCCCACACAACCAACAGGTTGGCACCACATCTGTGTCTCCATCAACCTGGCTAACAGTACCTAACTGATGGAAAACTTCCCTAACCTGGTGAAAGAAATGGACATACAAGTCCAGAAAGTGGAGAGTCCCAAACAAGACGAACCCAAAGAACCTTATACCAAGACATGTCATAATTTGCAAAGATCAAAGACAGAGAATCTTAATTTCCCAGGCAAGAAGAAACTAGAGCTCATCACCACTAAACCAGTATTATAAGAAATGTTAAAGTCCTGGCCAGTGTGGTTCAGTTGGTTGGGCGTCATCCTGTTCACAAGGTTGCAGATTCAATTTCTGATAGGGGACATGCCTGGGTTGGGAGCATGCAGGAGACAGCCTACCAATGTTCCCACTCCTGTCCCCTCTAAAAATCAATTTTAAAAGGTTAAAGGGTCTTCATTAAGAAAATAAAGACCAAAAATACAAATCAAGGCCCTGGCCAAGCACCCCAATTGGTTAGAGCAGTGGTCGGCAAACCGCGGCTCGCGAGCCACACGCGGCTCTTTGGCCCCTTGAGTGCGGGCGCGCACGTACAGTGTGATTGAAACTTCGTGGCAGAAGTCGGTTTTCGACCTCAGCGAACGTACCTCAATCAGATCGAGGGCGTTTTTAGCAAACACCAGCTTAGGAGTACCCTAATCAAGTTAATAACAATGTACCTACCTATATAGTTTAAGTTTAAAAAATTTGGCTCTCAAAAGAAATTTCAATCGTTGTACTGTTGATATTTGGCTCTGTTGACTAATGAGTTTGCCGACCACTGGGTTAGAGCATCATCCCAATAACGCCAAGGTTGTGGGTTCAACACCCCCAATCAGGGCACATACCAGAATCTGTCACTTCCTCTCTCAAAAAATCAATTGGCCCTAACTGGTTTGGCTCAGTGGATGGAGCGTCTGCCTGCGGACTGGGGGGTCCCAGGTTTGATTCCAGTCAAGGGCATGTACCTTGGCTGTGGGCACGTCCCCAGTGGGAAGTGTGCAGGAGGCAGCTGATTGATGATTCTCTCTCATCAATGTTTCTGACTCTCTATCTCTCTCCCTTCCTCTCTGTAAAAAATCAATAAAAATATTTTTTAAAATCGATTAAAAAAACACTATTATATATAAATCAATTGGCAATAAATACACACCAACAATTACTTTAAATACAAATGGATTAAATGCTCCAATCAAAAGACATAGGGTGGCTAAATGGATAAGAAAACAAGACCCTGGCTGTTTCATCTTAAAGGTGTTCGCTGGTTTTTCTCAAAGAGCTGCATTTAATACCAGTCTTTGCAGGTGACACTCATCATGATCCCTACTCAAACTGATCACTGGGCTTGGTTGCAAAGAATAATTCAGAAAGGATATTCAAGTAAAATCTGCAGACGTCTCGCGATTAACTCTGGTCTTACGTTTCGTTCATAACCTGATGGCCACTTATGACAGATACTGGGAGTCACAAGATGTCACCACGATCCAACCAGAATTGCCGAGGTGTCTCATTAACAAGGATCAAATCGATGCCTCACAAAAGGAGAAACGGAAATACGCCAAGTCAAGATGATCTGAAATTAGACCTGGACGCCTTTGGGCTTTTGGGCCTTTTAAAGTCTCTTGACATATGTAATACCCTTTGTAATACTTTAAGGAATAAAAAAAAAAAGTCTCTCGAGCTTTTTAAAATAGAAATAAATTTGGGTTTCACACCAAAAAAAAGAAAGAAAACAAGACCCTTAAACATACTGTCTACAAGACACTCACTTCAGATCCAAAGACAGTGAAAGTAGAACAATGAAAAAAGATTATCTCATGAAAATGGAAAGAAAAAAGTTGGGATAGCAATACTTATACCAGACAAAATAGACTTTAATTAAGGCTGCAATAAGACAAAGAATTCCACTTCTGGGTATTTACCTGAAGAAACCCAAAACAGTAATTTGAAAAGATATATACAACCATATGTTCATTGTTGCCTTTATAATAGCCAAGACATGGAAGCAACCTAAGTGCTCATCAATAGACAAATGGATAAAGTGGTGCCTACATACAGTGGAATATGACTCAGCCAGAAAAAAGAATGCAATCTTGCCATCTGCAACATGGATGGACCTAGAGTGTATTGTGCCGAGTGGAATAAGCCAGAGAAAGACAAATGGCATATGATTTTAAGTGTCAAATCTAAAAAACTAATGACCAAAACATACACTCAGAAAACATTTTAATGGTTGCCAGATGGGATGGGAGGTTGGGTGAAAAAAGGGTGAAGAAATTAAGTGTAAATTGGTAGTTACAAAATAGTCATGGGGAGGCCCTAACTAGTTTGGCTCAGAGGATAGAACATCGGCCCTTGGACTGAAGGGTCTCAGGTTTGATTCTGGTCAAGGGCATGTACCTTGGTTGCGGGATTGATCCCCAGTAGGGGGTGCGCAGGAGACAGCTGATCGATTCTCCCTCATTGCTGTTTCTAACTCTCTATCCCTCTCCCATCCTCTCTGTAAAATGTTAAAACCAAAAAGACAAAATATTCATGGGGGACCCTGGGCAGGCAGGTCAGTTGGTTAGAGCATTGTCCTAATACACCAAGGTTGTGGGTTTGTTCCCTAGCGAGGGCACATACAAAAATCAACCAATGAATGCATAAATTAAGTGGAACAAATCAGTGTTTCCCTAATAAAATAAACCTTTAAGAAAGTTATTTAGCCAAAACCGGTTTGGCTCAGTGGATAGAGCATTGGCCTGTGGACTGAAAGGTCCCGGGTTCGATTCTGGTCAGGGGCATGTGCCTTGGTTGCGGGCACGTCCCCAGTGGGAGATGTGCAGGAGGCGGCTGATCGATGTTTCTCTCTCATCGATGTTTCTGGCTCTCTATCTCTCTCCTTTCCTCTCTGTAAAAAATCAATAAAATATATTTAAAGAAAAAAAAAAAAGAAAGTTATTTAGAAAAGTCATGGGATTGTAAAGTGCAGCATAAGGGATGGTCTAATAACTATGTAGTGTCAGAGGGGACTAGATTAAGGTGATCACTTGGTAAATTATATAAATATGTAATCACTATGTTGTACACCTGAAACTAATATATTGTATATCAACTGTAACTGAAAAATAAAAAAATAACTCTTTAATAGAATAAATTTGAGTAAATTGCTTCAAAATTTTGTCCTACTAAAAAATAATACATTTTTTTAAAAATCATTAAAGTTTTTAATTAGTGCTATTTTACATTTTTGCAGATCTCTTTAATATTTGCCTTAACAGTAGACAACTAAATTCTCTTAATCTTGCAGTCTGTTGTGATGTCATGTAGCCTCAAAACTGCTGAGATACATCATTATATACTGTTTAAAAGTCAAGTTCAAATTAAGAGAAACCACATGCCAGTAATTTAAACAAGGAAAACAAAAAGAACTCTAAGGTGTGATGGGATAGTATCTGCTGAAATTAGCTGCTACCTCTGGACCTGAGGGAAGTGAATGAGCCCTTCTTCCAGCTGAGATTCAGACCTGAAGAACTCCCCTCTCCCTCGCTGCAGTTCCACCCTAATTCCAAAGCTATGAGGACACTTGCCACTTCCCACCTTCTCCAGACATATGACATGGCCCACATAATGGCCTATTATTAGCCATTTGCATATTAGACAAATCCAACTGATTAATCCCAAGTGCTTAGAATAGTGCACAGCACATAAATATCCAATAAATTTTAATTTCTTTAGTGTCAAAATATTTTTTTCAACCATTTAAAATTGCAGAAATCTAGTTCATAGGCCATATAAAATCAGGTAGCAGACCAGTTTGTCAACCTCTGGTTCAGATGATTCCCACTTGTATTGAGGAAGAGCATATAAAGATGCTATTCATTTTAAAAAGAATGTGCTACCCTCAGGCACGAGGATAAAAAAATATGCTCTCCTCATAACAGAAAGTATAAAAGCCACTAGCCACATGGAGCTATTTAATTACAATAAAAATTTAGCTGTGTACAGGCTCTCAGTTGGAGTGTCGTCCCATGCACCAAACGGTTGCGGGTTCAATTCCCCATCAGGGTGTGTATAGGAATCAACTGATTGATGTTTCTCCTTAAAATCAATAAAAACATATTCCTGGGTGAGGATTAATAACAATAATAAAATAAATAAAACAAAAAATTAAAAATCCATTTCTTACTCACATTAGCCATACTGAAGTACTTAGTAGCCAGAGAACACTTGTGTCATTCAATACAAACCAGAATACAACAGCAGTTTAAAAGATCTCACATTTATTACTGAATCAACCTTCTATTCCAGGAGGAAAAAATCAGAGCAAAAGCACAAGTTCATTAATCTTCCAATTAAAATGCCCCAACTGTCCAGACAGTAGCATCTTTTCAATCATTTAAGGGTGTAGGCAACCTGGATACAGCATAAATATGTGAGTCATCTCTCATGTGTGATTTCTCATAGGCCCAGTTTGGTTCTTCTCCAATGTCTCCTCTTCGAGTTGTACCTACACAGAAGGAAATTCCAAGTTACAAAAACAGTCTGACCTCAATTTAGCTGCTCTCATTCACCACAAACTTTGCCTTTTCATGTACCACAATATCCTTGAAAGGTAAAGGGTCCAGGCTTTTCTTTCCGTTCACAAGTTTGGAGCTCTTTTTGGAGAGTAAAAAATGATTTGCTAGATGTTTAAGAACTAGTCAAATCAAATTTTTACCTCTCAAAATGAATCCAGGGTATGAAGACACTGGTTCTTATGTGGTACTGAAGCAGTGGGGAAGCTCTCCCCTCCCCAAGTGTACGCTCACCCAACTTTGATTCAACAGACCTGAGGTAGAATTAGACGGAGACATGTATATTTTGAAATACATCAAAAACAGTCATTCCTACATAATGGGACACACACACACACACACACAGTTCCTGCAAAATTTTTACAATATATCAACACTCTCTCTCACTTTAATAGCAAAAAAAGTGATTTGCAGAACTAAAGCCATCTCTGAACTGTCCATGTAAGCCTGTCATGATTTTACCCTCATAAAGGCAAAATCAAAATGACCAACACAAGATTTTCTTTCAGCAGGATAATGGCAGTACTTCCACAAAATGAAGCACTGTAATTGCAACCTGCTTTCAATACATTTTAAGTCTGAAGATAGCTGAGTCGATAGAAAAATAATTCTACTGTGCCAATTCTCTGGACCAAAAGTGTGCAATAATAAATATAAAATATTTCCCCAGCTCTAGGAGTTCACAGAGCAAGACGCTAATATTGATAACCGCAGGCACCAAGCTTCACATACATTTCTTTCAATCCTTACAACCCAAAAGCAGGTCCCACCATCATCAGGGAAACTGAAGTTCATGTAGCTATGTTAAAAAAAAAAGGGGGGGGGGTGCTTTACTATGAATGCCTGATGTTCTCAACAGAAATCCATCAAACTTGTAGAAGGGCTGAGCTGCCAAACAAACCACTTCACCAAGTGCCTCAATGCTCTTTTCTCAGTACTGTATGATGGCAACGCCATGTGCTTTAAATTCTAGTTGCACCTGTAACAATGAGATATCCCCCACACACATTAATATGCATAAATAATAAAGACTACTGTTTAGTACCAAATATACCAAAAGCAGCAAAGTGGTGGCATGTAAGGCTATAGAGGGTGGCGATTTTCACATGGTGCTGTTAAACACACCGCGCTGTCACTGGCAGTGAGCCTTTGGGCAAATCTCATTGATTTTTCATACTAATTTTTCTTCCCCTTCAAGACCTATTTCCAAAAACACAACAAACAAACAAACAAAAAACACCTATCTCAAGGTCCACTGGGTCTCCAAAAAGCAGTGGGGTTGAAAGGCATGCAGAAGTTTTAAGGCCTAGTTTTGCCAGGAATTGGCCTAGATGACTTGGGATTGGAAGTACTTTGTAATAATTCTAATAATGTCTATTCTTCCAAAGCCATCAGTTCAACTACTTCTGCAGTGGAGGGCAATATTCCAATCTTTAAAAGATAAACACTTCAAAGATGGATTAGGGAAGCATCATGGTCTTCCCTGCTGGGCTGTGCAATGACAGCCTCCCATATTATGTGCTGGCCCAGTATGAAGACAACTAGGAAATTAACAAATATTGGAGTGTCTACTAAGCCCAGCTATGGGCTGGGTCATGTCCAGAAATCCAGAGGAAGCACATCAAAAAATTTCAGAGTGGTGGCACAGGATAAATTGGATTGCATACAACTTTTAATTATTTATGACCCCAAAGCAATCTTAAATTTAAAAAAAACCAAAAATATAGGAGGGTAGTGTCCTTACCTGATTTTATTACCAGTTTTCATCCGAATCCATTGGGGAATGGGCCGATTCTGCTTTTGTTTCTTGGCCAGGAACCTCTTGATCCTGAAAGTCTTGTGGGAAGACTGGGAAGGATATGCAATCAACTTAGAAATATCAGAACTTGCTCAAAATATTCAATCCAACAAACATCTAAATGCTCAATATATACCAAAAGCAACCCCCTAAACTCCAAAACCATCATGCCCTTTGTTTCGTTTCTCGCAACTTCTCTGCAGGCAGGGACCTTAATTCCCATTGTTAAAAAGTCAGGAGGTATGTAACCTGCCCCCAAAGGAAGCATATTAATGTGCAGAGATGGGATTCAAACCCTGATCCTTTCTGTTGAGTCTAGGGCACCCCAAGTCTTCTGGAGGAGGACCACATCAGGGATGGTGAGAGCTGGGGAACTAGGTTTTCAGGAAAGAATACAGCTTTTAGTAAACTAAATAATGTGTAACTTGCAAGTCTGTAAGTCTCAGTACCCTTCTTTGTAAAACAGGAGTATCCCCTCTTTCAAGGCTCATTACAAAAGTAATGAGGATTTATACAACGTTCCCCACATTCAGTAGATCTACTCTAACCCGCTGATCATTTTGATATTAATTCTAACTCTACTTAAAAATGCAACTTTTCCAAGGATTATCCCCACTTCCCTTTGCAGCTTTGGCTTTCATGAAGTACTCGGGTCACCTAACCCCAACCGATGTCCCGGACCCGCCCCGTTTGCAGGACAACCTGGAGGAATAGCATGAATGCTCGTCTGGCTCTTGTGGCCCAACACACCTTTGCATATTAGGGGCCATTTTAAAAAAGGCAAAGACTACACCCATCTCCCAGTTCTCAGTAGTTGTAAATTAAATTTTCCGTCAACCATTAAAACTATAAAACACCAAATACTGATCTTCTCCATACCCAGAAGCCTATGCTCACTTTAAACTTCTCAGGGAACCGTCACAGGAAAAACCCAAACAGTGACTGTCCGCAGTGGGCATCTTACGAAGAATGCCCAGATGGCAAAGAGGTTCATATCACAGCGCTCCTTGCTCCAGGAGCTTCCATAGGGTAAAGCTCAAGTCCCTGGAATGACTAAAAAACTCCTGGAAGCTCAAAATGTGGTAGGCTCCTGGCCGCCAACTTAAAAAAAAAACTTTACGAAAACCAGCAGCCCCATTCTATTCTCGATGCCAGGTACGTGTCGTAGGCAGCCAGCAGTTGGGCCACGATTGCCGCGTCCTCCCCCCCCCCCCAACTTCTCTCTCTGCCCCAGAATCACAGTTCGCTCCGGCGACGGGAAGCGGAACCCGCCCGAGGCGGCGGCCTGGCGCACATCGCTCCCCAGTCGGACCTCGCAGCGCCAGGCCGCCCGCCCCTCCCCAAGAGCTAGATTGCTCACTAGTTTCCCGCCAGGCCCGCCGACTGGAGCAGGGACCAAACTCGGCCTACTCTGCAAAAGGCCTCGAAAAGGCCCGGGCATCCCGGCGCAGCCCGCGGCGCACGCCAACTCCCGGGATCTGAGAACTCGGGGAGCCTCCCCCACGCGGATGGTAAAGGATGGACTTACCATGGTGAAGGAGAAGCGAACGCGCGCACCTCGATGGCGGAGAAAGAGAGAGAAGGAAGCGGAAGGACGTATTTAGTGGCACTGACGGGGTGGGGCTATGGGGACTGAGGCGGTGCATTCACCACCCCCTCCGGGCGGGCCCTCCCCTCGCGCGCTCCCAGGGAGCTGTGGGAACGCGGGCTCGGCCCTGGGAAATGCAGTTCGCTTTGCGCATCTTCTGTAGGTGGGTTCCTTGGAGTCCTTCAGTGTGCCGGGGGGAACCTGTTTCGTGGGTGAGGATGGCAGCGATCATAAACACCTAAGCGGAAGCGCTGGGAGGCCGAGGGAGCGGGGTGGGCGGGTCTAACTCCTAGGGCTGGGGGAGGGACGGCAAGTCTGAGCGCCGAGGGTTTGCGCCTGCGCTTGGGCTGGGAACGCCTTTGCTGAATTGTTTGAAGTGCAGTAGACCCTGGGTCTATATGGTTTTAAACTTTGTGCGTTCACTTACCCTCTGAATCCCGGGTTTCACATCCGCGGACTCAACCAAAACAGTATTTTCCACCCGCGGTTTGGAATCCTATGGTGCAGATGTGGAGGGCCAACCTTGTGCATTGGTCTAGGACTGTATGCATTGTTCTACGCCATTTTATAGAAGAGACTTATATCTGTGGATTTTGGTATGGGGGCAGGGGTCCTGGAACCAATCCCCTGGTGGATACCAAAGGGGAACTGCCTTTTGGAGGGTCAAAATTTATGCGTGGATTTTTGACTGTGTGGGGGTTGGCCTAACACTCCCCACCCTCCCTGTTGTTGAAGGTCAACTATAGTGGTCACCTGGCTGGGTGGTGGTGGAAAAAGCAGAACAGCTGGGCAGGGGCTGGACCAGGTGTGCCCTGTAAGCCTACAGACTGCCATAGAGCTGTCTGAGCAAGAGGTTGTCAATCAAGGTTTTAAGGCGAGAAAGTTCTGGACAGAACCATTTTCTTGGTTGTTAGGAAGCCCAGACTGGCTTTGTAGTCCACCTTTGGCAAAATGTACAGGAATTAATGGCAGCATTTTGGATGTTAATGTTCCATTTTCATCTTTTCCCATTTAAAAACAAAGGTAGCGCCCTGACCGGTGTGGCTCAGTGGATAGAGCATCGGCCTTCGGACTCAAGGGTCACAGGTTCGATTCCGGTCAAGGGCATGTACCTTGGTTGCGGGCACATCCCCAGTGGGGAGTGTGCAGGAGGCAGCTGATCGATGTTTCTCTCTCATCAATGTTTCTAATTCTCTATCCCTCTCCCTTCCTCTCTGTAAAAAATCAATAAAATATATTTAAAAAAACAAAATAAAAAAACAAAAACAAAGGTAGCTCAGTTGGTTAGAGCATCATCCTGATATGCCAAGGTTGTGGCTTCCATCCCTAGTCAGGGCACATACAAGAATCAACCAATGAATGCATACATAAGTGGAACAATAAATTGATGTTTCTCTTTCTCTCTAAAAAAATATAAATTAAACTAAAAATTATTTTTTGTTAACTTATAATGCTATGTGAAGATTCAGAGTCACTGGTAGGATATCTTAAGCACATTGTAAGCCATGAGTCAATATATACCCTACATATACACCAACAAGCTCAGTAAACGTCAGCCATGATTTCTTTCATTCCTTGTATTGTAACAGGGCAAATAGTGTGTGTGTGTGTGTGTATATACTTAGAGGCCTGATGCACAAAATTTGTGCACTCGGGGGTTCCCTCAGCCCAGCCTGTGCCCTCTCACAGTCTGAGAGCCCTCGGGGGGATGTTCGACTGCCGCTGCACTCACCAGCCATGAGCCTGGCTCAGGGCTTCTGCATTGAGCATCTGCCCCCTGGTGATCAGTGTGCATCATAGTGACTGGTTGTTCCGCCGTTTGGACGATTTGCATATTAGCCTTTTATTTTATATATATATACACATATATATATATATATATATATATATATATATATATGTATGTATATATATACACTGAGTGGCCAGATTATTATGACCACACCATCAGTACTTCGTTGGGCCACCTTTTGCCTTCAATACTGAGGAGATTCTTCTTGGCATTGACTCCACGAGATGTTGAAAGGTGATTCGAGGAATCTGACACCATGCCTGATGAATAGCACTGTCCAGTTCTCTGAGATTTGATGGTTGTAGAACCAGCTGCCTGATGGCTCTTTTAACTTCGTCCCACAAATGATCAATTGGATTGGGATCTGGTGATTGTGGGGGCCACCTAAGCAAGGTAAAGACTCCCTCATGTTCTTGAAACCACTCCTGCACAATACGAGCACCGTGGCATGGCGCATTGTCTTGTTGGAAGAAGCCATCTCCATTGGGATACGCCATCAACATGATAGGATGAACCTGATCAGCAACAATACTTAGGTATGTTGTGCTATTCAGACGTTGTTCCACACAAATTAAAGGGCCCAAATCATGCCAGGAAAACATGCCCCAAACCATAACACTGCCCCCACCAGCTTGAAGGGTTGTGCTCATGCATGTGGGGTGCATGCTTTCATGCTGTTTCCGCCAAATTCTCACTCTGCCATCTGCATGATGCAACTGAAAACGTGATTCATCGGACCACATAACTTTTTCTTTTTTAAAAAATATATTTTATTGATTTTTTACGGAGAGGAAGGGAGAGGGATAGAGAGTTAGAAACATCGATGAGGGAGAAACATCGATCAGCTGCCTCCTGCACACCCCCGACTGGGGATGTGCCTGCAACCAAGGTACATGCCCTTGACTGGAATCGAACCTGGGACCCTTCAGTCTGCAGGCCGACGCTCTATCCATTGAGCCAAACCAGTTAGGGCTGGACCACATGACTTTTTTCCAATGCTCAACAGTCCAATCCTTGTGTTCCTGTGCAAATTGGAGACGTTTTATCTTGGTAACTGCAGACAGCAAAGGTGTTTGAACAGGTCTTCGGCTTCCATATCCCATACGATGCAGTGTATGGCTAATTTGCCTACAAACTTCAGGTGGTCATAATAATCTGGTCACTCAGTGTATATACTAGTGGCCCAGTGCATGAAATTCATGCATGGGAGGGGGGTGTTCCTCGGCCTGGCCTGCACCCTCTCCAATCTGGGACCCCTCAGGGGATGTCGAGCCTAAACCGGTAGTCAGACATCCCTCTCGCAATCCAGGATCGCTGGCTCCTAACCGCTCACCTGCCTGCCTGCCTGATCGTCCCTAACCACTGTGCATGCTGGCCTGATTGCCCCAACTGCCCACCCTTCCAGCCTGCTCGCCCCCAACTGCCCCCCTGCCAGCCTGCTCGCCCTCAACTGCCCCCCTGCCGGCCTGATCACCCCTGACTGCCTCTGCCTCAGTCCCACCACCATGGCTTTGTCCAGAAGGACGTCTGAAAGGTCTCCTGGTCTAATTAGCATATTACCCTTTTATTAGTGATATATGTGTATGTATGTATGTGTGTGTATGTATATATATATATAATATGCAGTGTTCCCTCGGGAGTTCGACTGGGAGACCAGGAATTCGATTGCTCACTATGATGTGCACTGACCACTGGGGGGCAGCGTGGAATGAAGGAAGGCCCAGGCCGGCAGCCGGGGAAGAGAAGCCCTGGCCAGCAGCTGGAAGGCCCTGATTGGTCCTGATCTCCGTCCAGGCCTAGGGACGCTACCCATGCACAAATTTTGTGCATCAGGCCTCTAGTTTTAGTATAAAGTTAACACATTTATATGGGTCTACAGACAAAACCAGAGATGAAACATTTACAGTGGTCCAGCTGCTACCCCAGTCTCTCCCCCTTTGTTCCCTCCCCATAGGCTATTTTTCCCCATAGGTAATTTTTATTAGTCGCTGATTTCTCCTATTGTTTCTTTTTGAAAAATATCTGAATCTTTTCATTTTCATTTAATTTCAAATATTAATATCTATTTTAGAATACCCCTGCCCTTCCTAAGCAAAAGTAGTATGAGAGAACTTGTGAGGTGGAGAGAAGGAAAACCAAAGTGGCACACAGTAGTTGGCTTAGAGCACAGGAATTGAGGAGGTTGAGCAAGCAGCCATCTGCAGAGAATAAAGGCATTTGGATAAAGAGGAAAAGATTTGGAAGATATATGTATTCACTTGAGAAAGTGAACATCCTTACTATGTGTAATATTGGGATAGATTGGGCATAGAGGATTGGGGGAAAAGGTCTTCAGAGAAGGGGCTGCTTGAGGGAAATCCTGGCCGAGAATAGGAGAAAGCAGAGAAAGGGAGTGAGGGAAGGCTTTCCAGAAAGAGAAAACTATATTTGTAAAAGCGTAGAGGCTAAGAGCATGTATCTAGACCTTCCCAGGATAGGCTCAGGAGTCTGAGCTTTATCCTGGAGGTGAACAACTGGCAACTTCTTTAGCAGAATAATTTTTTGCTTAAAGCCATTTAATATAGATACCCACCCTTGATTCTTTCTCTTATACCCCTATTTCAAACTTATACCCTAGCAGTGGTTCTCAACCTTCCTAATGCCTCGACCCTTTAATACAGTTCCTCATGTTGTGGTGACCCCCAACCATAAAATTATTTTCGTTGCTACTTCATAACTGTAATTTTGCTACTGTTATGAATCATAATGTAAATATCTGATATGCAGGATGTATTTTCATTGTTTGCAACCCACAGGTTGAGAACCGCTGCCCTATAGCAACAATTTCCAACCTTTTTCACGTCAATAATTACTAAAATTCTGTGGCAAACCAAAATATGTATTTTGCAGATCTGACAAAAAAAATAGGTATATTTTTTATTCATTCACACTGGATGGCTATTGTTATATTGGTTGTTTTTTGTTTTTTTTTTGTGTGTGATTAATCACTATGCTTTAATTATGTTCAATTTGTAACAATGAAAATACATCCTGCATAGCAGATATTTACATTACGATTCATAACAGTAGCAAAATTACAGTTATGAAGTAGCAACGAAAATAATTTTATGGTTGGGGGTCACCACAACATGAGGAACTGTATTAAAGGGTCGCGGCATTAGGAAGATTGAGAACCACTGCCCTAAACAAAGTTTGCTCTCTTGTGTTTTTGGAGCCCTTGGGATTCTTGTTGCTCAGGGCTCGCTCTCTTGGCTCCCTGGCATTCTCCCATGTGGCCCACAGCCATGTGGACCCACACACACAATGGAC